AGGTTTCAGACATGCCAGTCTACCAAGTCAGCTGGGAATGCTTTTCATGGGGTGATGAGAGCAAAGAAATGCCCCAGTGCTATTTCATCTGCCTCCTCGTGTTAGAGGCCAGCATGGACAAAGACGAACTTTCTCTCTCTCTTCACCAATCCAGTGTGTTCAGCTAAAGTTTCCTTGTTAGATGGGCCCTCCTGTTTTCTTCTTGTAAGGGAGGGGATTGTCAGAGGCAATGTCCCTCCTCTAGAGCTAGGTGCCTGAGCTTTCCTCCTATGCCCCAGATAGTCATTTTCTTACACTTGGATATTGGGAGTCCACCATCAGAAATCCTCCTCCACAGCCTGGATTCTCATCATAGCCCCTTCACTGATCTGCCTTATTTGCACACTGCCCCTGATGGATCATCAGCATGCTAATTTTTAAAACCTAAACCAACTCACATCCCTCCTGTGCTCAAAACTCTCTGACGCCTTCCCATCTCCTGAGGTGTGGAAGCCAATATCCACACACTAGAGGGCGCCCTCCTGGCTGCCCACCCGTCTCCCACTCCACCTGTCCCCTTGCTCACTTCCCTTAAATCCTTCCTTTAGGTCTTTGGTAAAAGGTCACTTCCTCACCCATCTCTTTCCCAACCACCCTGTTTTAAATTGCAACTGATCTCTGTACCCTCTTTGCCTTCTTTGTCTCCACAGTATTTCTCATGCTGAAGGTACTACGTATTTTACCTATTTATTAGTTTATTGTCTATATTTTCCCACTAGAAGATCCACTCTGTGAAGGTAGTGCTTTCTGTTTCCTTTTCCTACTGGGACGTAGAACTGAGACTGGCACAAGGAGGAGCTTAAGACACATTTTATGAATGACCGAATGCGTAAATAAACTAGGTGGATGTCATAGGCAGCGTACTGTGTCAATGATGAAGTTGCTAGTGTGTGTGCACGCCTGTATTTTTATACTTGAGCTACTGTTGTGTGCCATGCTGGGGATCAGCAGAGGTTACTTGTGCCTTGTGCATTGCTACTTGCTCCTCTTCCCTTTTCCGGAAAGTTCTTCCTTCTTATTCTTTCCTCTCAGTCTTTCCCACAGGAAACTGTCCCAAAACGTTTTTCTGTGGAGTTTTCTCTGACTAATCCCCCTGCTCTCTGCTGAGAGCATACCGGAAGCTCGTGAACAGAGGCCTGTGACTCCATCCAGCTGCTACTAGGCTCATCTTTGTTGTATGTGTGCAATGATTTTCTCAGCTTTGCTTCAGAATGCAAGTTCTGGAGGGCGATGAAGAGGCCTCCTCTCTTTCCTGTCTCGCTCTTGGTGTCAAGTAGGACTCTGGACTCTGTAGCCTGGCTTATGTTGCATTTTGTTTGTGCCTCAGAAGTAAAGTTGTGATGTGAAAACACCAAAAGCAACAGGAACCATAATAAAATGACCGTGTGCAGGGCAGCCAGATCCCCTAGAGCTGCTGACCAGCGAATCTTTACCAAACCAGTTCTACAGGAGGTGCTGCTATGAAGTGGCTTTAAGGCACAGAATGTGGTACAAGACAAACCTCCTTTTGACCTAGTTAGAAGAGACAGATCACAAACATGGAATATACCCAGTGCAGTGGTTTGCACAATAAGCAACCAGAAAATATGTATTGAACTTAATAAACAAAATCAATCATGTGGGCTGGGCACGGTGGCTCACGCCTCTAATCCCAGCACTTTGGGAGGCCGAGGCAGGCAGATCACCTGAGGTGGAGAGTTGGAGACCAGCCTGACCAACATGGAGAAACCCCATCTCTACTAAAAATACAAAATTAGCCAGGTGTGGTGGCACATGCCTGTAATTCCAGCTACTTGGGACGCTGAGGCCGGAGAATCGCTTGAACCCGGGAGGCAGAGGTTGCAGTGAGCCAAGATCGCGCCATTGCACTCCAGCCTGGGCAACAAGAGTGAAACTCTATCTCAAACAACAACAAAAAAAGAAAAAGTAAATAAATAATGTAACCACAAGTGGTGGAAATAGTACTGGATTTAGTGCTGGAAAACCTGGGTTCTAATGTCAGGATGGGATTGTAGACTTTGGAACCATGGAGCAGGGTTCAAATCCTAAATCATCATTAAATCTCATGTATTAAAGGCATGTCTTGCATGGTAGTTAAAAGAATCAGTGCTAGTGAATATATGCATCGAATAAAGACATCTAGAAGGCACAAGTAGTTCAGCTGGTATTGATGATGGTATCACCATTAACATCTCAGCTCTACCATATACCCTCCAGACCTTGGATCAATCACATTGTTGCCTCTTGGGCTTCAGTTTCCTTATGTATGAGACTAAAGACTGTACATAGATGATTCCTAAATGCTAAGATTTTAAAATTTCTGCCATGATCCAGAACAGTAGGGTTGTAGTCCACACCTTGTGGACTTCAGCAAATCGCTTCACTTTTCCATGCCTGTTTCTTCAGCTGCAAAATGGTCACGTGGCTGGGTTGGTGCTCTGCAAGTTCCTGCAACTTGAAAGCTCTGTGAATCTTGGAATGCTCTGGGAAACACCAAACGAGAGGCTCAGAGCTTGATTTCTATAGTGGGATAGGAAATCAAGACCAGAGAAGGTAAACCTGCAAGGAATCAGAGAGCTGAGTGAGGTGTGCCGGGAGTGGGGCTAGGGAGGAAGGGAGGGTGGGAAAGAAGGCTTTCCTAGGTAAGTAGGACAGTGCTCCTTGAATGTGAAAAAGAATTGTGTTAAAATGCAGGTTCCAGGTTAGTAGGTCTGGGGTTGTGCTTGAGATTCTGCATTTCAATCAAGCTTCCAGCTGATGCAGCTGATCCTTGGACAGTATTTTGAGTAGCAAAGAGTGTTCCTTCTCTAGTTTAGCAGCTGGGCCTCTTAGAGAATAACAGAAGCTCATCTTCTCCCCACACCTTCCTCCATGTCCCTCCCATAAGACCCTAAACAAAGGATGTTTTTGCCATTGTTTTTTTCCCCTAGTCTATCTCCCAATCCCAACCCCCAAATACGCACACACACATTCACTCACTCCTCGATACCCTCACCTCTCCAGCCTCATCAATACTTTCATCACTGGTCTTCACTGCGAAAGTGATTTTTGGGGAAAAGAATCTCACACCACATTTTCTAGGCCCTTACTGTCTGGCAGTGACAATCCCAGAGGAATGGAAAGTGAACATGTCTACATTGTTGGAGAGGGGTGATGTCATGTCCAGGTTTTCCCAGTTACACAGTAGTAGTCCCTACTTAGTCCTGGAGGCTGGTGTTTCTGCCGCTCCCCACCCCCACCCTGCAGCAGAAGAGGGGCCTCACACAGAGTGTTTTTCCCATCCAACCTCTCCTCTCCCCACACCCACACACACCCAAACACACACAGCCTTCCTGTGCCCAGAGAACACCACCTTTCTGCCTTCCTTACCAAGGGCTTCTTTTTCACAACACGGCCCATAGGGCAATTACTGGTAGTTTTTGAAGCCCACCAGGATAAAGAGCTGAGTCTGCCACCAGCACACCCCAGGTACCCACCAGAGGTCTGGAAACATCCATACCTGGACACATCTGCAACCCATTGGCAAGCCACTGGAGTGTCATTCACACTGCTTGCAAAGCACTGCCCAAGCCAGAGGCCCCCACCTCCCCTCCCCTTTCCTCCTGTGCCTCTCCTCCCCTCCTCTCACCCCCTCCTTCCTGCCCCGCTCCGTGTGTGTGTGTGTGTGTGTGTGTGTGTGTGTGTGTGTGTGTGTGTGGTCCAGCACAGCTTATTTTTTCTGGGGAGCCTTCTACCTGCCGTGTTCTCTCCCCACGTTTTCTATTTAGTTCTTCATAGCCAGTGCCCATTCTCTGTCCTGCAGAGGAAATAGGACCTGAACAGTTTCCTTTACAGAAAGAGTCCTAAGAAGGAAGGCTTCTTTCTTGAAGAAGTCTTGACTGAAGCAGGTTAGAATTTGCTCTGAGCGGGGCATGCACCTAGCAGTTGTCTCTCTCTCTTCTGTCCCCTCTAAGAGGCTTACTCAGGGCACTTTCTTCTCATAGCATCCTTATTCTTCCTGGAAATGATCCTTCCTTGGTTGTGATGGGGACAGGAGGGGACATGGGCACAGAAGAAGGAAGAGGGGCTGTTGGGCAGATCTAGGTCTAAGAGAGTGCCTTATTATTCTTAGGTTCTAGAGAGAGGAAATGAGGAGACCCTTAGAGGTCACGTGGCTATAACCCTCCTTTTGGAGCACAGCAGCTGGACACTTCTGTACCAAATGAGGAATCTGAGTCCTCCATTTCAAGTCACCTAGTAGAGAAATCTTACAGTGATATTTTGGTCATCCTGAGGACTGAGATTCCTAAAATCTCACTCTTGATGTATTCCCTCTTTTCTCCTTTGAGCAGCCTTCTTGCCTCTACTTATCAAGCTGTAACTCATCCCTTCTCAGCTCAGGTACCTTCAGTGGCTTTCTATTTCTTCTCATGAAAACTCCATTTTAAATCCCACTGTCTCCACAGACTATTTCCTGGCCACCCAAATTTACTTGCTCCCATGTACTTGGAGTTCCTTCAGCAATAATACTCTTCATTTAGCACTTAATACATTCTTGGACATTATTTACTACGGTTTGTTTAAAAGGAGTTCATGTTATTTCCATAGAAGATCAAAAGCTCCCTCACGAAAGAAATTGCATCATGTATGTTGAACACTCCACAGGGTCCAGCGTGTTCATCCTTATTGTGTGTGTGTGTGTGTGATAAATCATTTCAATTCTGATAAAAATTAAGACATCCTCCCCTGGAAAATGCACTTCCCCTCAGAACTCTGCCTAAAAGTTTGTTACCCAGTCAAATATTCCAGACTCATAATATCTAGAATCCCTTGTTACCCACCAAAAGATTCCCTTGTTACCCACCAAAAGACTCCAGATTAATAATATCTGATAATAGCAAATGGTCCTGTTGGCAGAGCAAATAGTAGATGCTCAAGAATTGCCTGCTGATGTGCATTTTTCTCTGTTTTCCCCCAAACAGATTGCCCTGACGTTCTCAATCGTCTTTGGGGTGATTGTGTATCGAATAACAACAGCAGCCGCTCTGTCTCTCAATAAGGCTACACGCTCCAATGTCCGGGTGACAGTGACAGCAACAGCAGTCATCATCAACCTCGTGGTCATCCTCATCCTGGACGAGATCTATGGTGCTGTGGCCAAGTGGCTCACCAAAATTGGTACTGTGTCACCGAATCTTCTGGCTGTCCTAGGCCCTCTTTAAGTCAATGTGTGCAAGGCTTTTGGTGATAATGAACCAAAAAAAAAAAAAAAAAAAAAAAAGGGACAGGGACAGGATGCTTTGTACAGTGAATTTTAATTAGAGGAATGGGGAAGTGCAATGTATGTGTATTTGCAGGGCTGCCAAAGGGCTTTCTCTAAAGGCGGGAATCCTTCCTGTAACATTCTTGATCAAGTCCTCTGGCCTGTGTTGATTGCCTCATGTGACAGGACACTCACTATCCCCTAAGGATAAACCACAGGGTCTGTTCTTTTTAGCCTAACCTAGAAGCAAGGCAGACTTCCTGTTAAAAAGTACAGAGCTTTAGCTCTCATTTTCCCAGCAGCATCTATAAAGTTGAGGAAAGCCTCTTGATACTTGAGCCCAAGAGGGTCTTATTGGTCTTATCTATCCCCGTATTGTCAGAGGCCCCAGAAAATCCACACATTCCCCGGGCACTGAGTAGACTTCAAAGAGGCATATCAGACTTCCCAAGCTTCAAACCAGTGAGAAAAATGCAATGGCCTCAATATTCAGATGTGTCATTTGAGCTGTAAGCCGCTGTTGCCCAAGCACCACGTTTTGGCATTTGGCATTTGTGCTTATTGGATGGGGGAGGCTGACAGTCGAGACCCTGTCCCATTGTATGTATTCTGGGTGGCCTGGATTCATCCCTTCCCTCTCTGAATGTAGGGATTTCCCTCTCTGACACTAGGGACGAGGTTTCCCAACTTCTTGTTAACCTCATAGGGAGGTTGCATTGATGGTATGTATGATGTCTTTAATTCACGGACCCTTGATAGGATAGCCACCTCCTCAGGAGCCTTCTCCTGATGACTGGAGAATTCCAGAAAGTTGCTCTGTCTGTGCCTTTCCCCTGCTTGGCCTCTACTGAAACACCACCCATGGTGAGCACTTTGCTTTGGCTTCTGTATTGCTATCGGCAGCTTAGCATCCTCAGGGGCAGCTCTGCTGTTTCCAGGAATGTGCATATTTATGAGTGTTATCTGTGTGTCTTCATAAGCTTCTGGAGAAAAATAAGCAGAGAATTTTAATTCAGCATATTTAATGATAGACAGGATTCTATGGAAGCACTTTGGAAGAACATCCAACACTCCTGGGGACTCAGGAGGCTTTGGAGGGAGAGGCATTTAACTGTAGAGCTCAGAGATAAGTGAGAGACAGATAGGCACGCATATAGGGAGGAGAGGATGGGCAGGAGGAGAGGGAGATTCCTGGCAAAGGAAACCAAGCGAGAAATACGGCACTGAAGGGAGTGATCAGGGGGTCAGGAAAGGCATGCAGGAAAGTGGCAAATGAGCCACTTGGGTGATTGGGAGAGTCTTGGTCAAGCTGAACACCAGCGGAGGAGGAGCTGAGCTCAGCGTATGGGAGAAAGAAAGCACGAAGCATGCACAGGACGCCAGGGGAGCCCAGTGCCGGGGCTCTAGGTCCAGGGCACATCCAGGGCATGATGGAGTGGGAAACTGGGCCGACGGAGTTAACCAGCTCGTGTTTTCTTGTTTTGTTTTGCTTTTTGATGGGAAATCTAAAATGCCAGGCTGAGGACTCCGATTTTTTTCATAGATAATGGAAAAGTGTTTGCTGGAGTTCCCAGGGACATTCAGCAATAAACAGTACCATCTTCCTGGCCTGATGACTGGACCAGCTGAGAAATTAGATCAAGGCAAGAGTAGACAAAGCCAAAATATCAGCCGTAAAACTGAGAAAGGCTACATGGGAGGCAGTAGCTTAGGAGAAGAGCCAAAAAGACATTCTCTCTCCATGGCAGGCAGCGGTGGATGGGCCAGCCCTGTGAACTTAGAACTTGGAGGGACATAGAAGAACACCTGCTTCCTGCAGGCCCTTAGCTCCCCTCTAAGTAGGGGCAGAAAAAGAGGCTAGGCAAGGAATGCCAGCATCCTCTTCCAGACTCAACAATAAGATAAGCTACTCCTCCTTCTCTCACCCAAGAGGAGAGATGGTTGAGCTGGGGGAAGACAAGCTGAGACATTACAACTAATCACATTCCCACCACATGGAGGAAACATCAGGAGTAGAAATAAATGTCCCCTACTCACTCCATGTGGTCCTGATCTAGCACCACTGAGGATTTTTTTTAAGAGCGTGGCATGACGGGAGCTGTCTGCAAAATTACTTAGCAGGGAAATAGGATGTGACAGAATAGGGAGAGGTAGGAGAGCCAATTGAAAGGACATTGCTGAGTGTATGGGCAGGAAGTAGGAAAAAGAGGGACAGGAAGTCAGTGGTGATGTCGACCTTCTTGCTGTTCATTTGTGTTACATTATCTCTCTTTTCTTGCATTGCTCTAGATAGTGATAAAGATGAAAGAGAAATTGAGTGGGCAACAATAGAAAACTCATTAATAAGTATTTAGTGAGTACTTCCCATGTGTGAGGCGGGGCCTTAACTCTTCTGTTTAAAGCCACAAATAAAATGGGCTGTAACACAGCTTTCACATCATGAAGCTATGTTCACTGTTTCTACCGACACACCCTCCTTGCCCAGACCAAAGCAGCTACCCTGGGCTGTTAAATCGATGTCCAGGACTCCATAAGAAAGTCTGTGCCCTGGAAAGGAGATAAAATCCTAACAAGTACATTTTGTTCTCTCTGAGAGTGATACTCATAAAGTATTTTTAAACTTAAAATAAAATTTGTAACTCCATTTCATCTTCACAAAAACTGCATGGCCAGGAAGGGAAGTATTATACCCTCACTTTACTAAGGTTCAGACTCAGATTCCACCTCTAAAATGTGAATCTCTTTTGTGTGACTTTGATGTCAGTTTCTCACCATCTGTACTGAAGTGGTGTGTTGGGTCTCCATGAGGAACCCCAGTGAGCCTTGTTCTGGGGCATTGCTCTTGTCTACCTTAGACTGGGTACCCCAGAGGGCTCAGAGAGGGACCGCTGAATTTGAGAATCCAGTAGAAAGAAGCTTTGAACTCTAGACCTGGCTCCTTCTCCTCCCACCCCCCAACTGTGTGGCAGTGGGTATTGGGGAACTTTTTCGGACAAAGGTTTGCTGATCCTTCCTTCGTCATATTCCTCCTGTCCTCTGGTCATCATGTGTCTGGACGGTTTTCACAGCCTAACGCCTATGCCGTTGTCCTCAGCCTCTTTCAATGGGCTTCTAGCTTGGAAATCCCCATCCAGCCAACCTTTCCTGAACAGTGGGTTTGGGGACATTGCTCCCAGTCAGCACCCTCAGACAGCTTCCCTTGGCCCTAGAGCAGCTCTAGTTAGCATTTCAAGCTCTCAGCTACTTTCTTCCCACTGTGGTCCTCCACCCCAGCTGACCCACTCAGCTCGCGGTCACCCTAGCCTCCCCGTGTGGCCCCAGCCCAGCCTTGCTCATGCTGCTGTGACTGCCAAAATGACCTCAGTGACCCCCCTTGAAAGGGCTTCTTGAGGGCTCCTCCTTTGTAAATCCTCTTCTGGCCTCTCAGCCGTCAGTGGTCATCCTCCCCCTTCCAGACTCCCCTGGCACACACCCTCTGTTTCTGGGTTCATCCATCAGCTGTTGATGGAGTGCTTGCTCTGTGCCAGGCACAGTTCTGAAAACACAGCAATGACAAGTGACAAGGTCCCTGCTCTCATTTTGCTTTCACTGTGGCAAGGGAAAGATGGACAGCGAGCAGGGCCATTCCACAGAATGTGAGGAAGGTCTGATGAGACAGACAGTGGTCTGGGGCTGTGCACTCTGGAGGAGTTGGTCAGGAAAGGTGTTTCAAGGTGGTAACTTTATAGCTGAGACCTGGATGGCAGGAGGGAGCCACCCACAAAAGGATGTGGAAGGAGAACTCTTAGGAAGATGAAACAGTAAAGGCAAAGCCTGCAGGTCAAGGCTAAGCTTGGAGCATCTTATCCACACTACTCATTGGATGCTGATCAGGTGCTATCTGATCTTATCACATTTCACATATATGTGTCTTCCCAGTGTTAGAATAGACTAGGCTCTGCTGGGGTAATAAATTCATCTTGAAATCTTGGTTGCATCTGTAAAGTCATCTGTGTTCTTGCTCAGCCCACATATATAGTGCAATCAGGCAGACCTAGACTGATGGCGGCTGCCGTGGACACCATGTCAAGAAAAGACAGCTGGAGCATTGACTGGGGCTGTTAAATGCTTCAGCCTCCAAGCATCATTGTTCCTCCCGTTTGCTCACAGCCCACTGGCTAGAATCAGCCTAATTATGAAGAACTTGGAAAATGTGTGAAAGGACATGGCCATTCTGTAAGCAGGAAAGGTCTCTGCTACTTGCTCCCAACCAGGCTGCAAGGCTCTTGAGAACAGTGACCCTGTCTTTCATTTATTTTTATTTCCTGCACAGTGCCTGGCCCATGGCAGATCTTAGCACATTTTTGTCATTGCAGTCATTGGTGAACTACGTCTCTCTCTTCATTCATGCATGCAAAAAGACGTTTTTCAAGGAATGCCCATAGGCTAGGTATCTTTTAAGCCACAGTAGAGGCTGAAGTGAACATTTATGTATTCCTTATTTCACCTGTCTTCCTACAGAAGGATGTATGATCTTATTGAGATGAATAAGGCCAGTGCAAAGTTGACACAATGGGATAGTGACTGAAAGAGGCACCAAGGGTATCGGGAGACTTAAAGTTTCCTTAAAGGCAAAGAATACCCACACTAACAGAGACGGTCCCACAGAGTAGGTCCCAGCAGTATCCCCACAGGCAGAGATACGGTTACAGGGTTCCCTCAGGCTCCACGCGGACATAAAGCTATGGATAATGCCACCTAATGGAATGAGAAGTCTGCCGGGCTTAAGACTTCCTTTGCCATTCTCACGCTGGGTTTAACACCCGCTTGGCTTCCTGCCCCAGATGTGTTGATAGTTGAGGAGGCTGTAAGTATGCGCTTTGCTCACCAGGTGCAAACAGCTGGTGTCAGTAACCCCAATAAGTACCCAAGTGTT